AACATAGTTAAGATGTCAGTTTTCTCCAAACTGATCTATAGATTTAATGTAATTCCAATCAAAATCCCAGCATAATTTTCTGGAGACAACAGACAAGCTGATTCTAGAATCAGCTTGTATATGAAAGGCCAAAAAATTAGAATAGCCAAAATCATTTTGCAAAGGACAAAGTTGGGGGACTTACACTACTGGATTGTAAAGCTTGCAGTAAGACTGCAAGAATAAAGACAGTGTGATATTCATGAAAGGATAGACATATAAATTAATGGAAAAGAATAGAGATTTTAGAAACAGACTTGCACAAACATGGTCAGTTGGTTTTTGTCAATGGTGCAAACACAATTTGAGGCAAAAAGATAGTCTTTTAAAGTTATAGTGTTGGAACAATGGGACATTCATATACAAAAAAAAAAGAAACCCAAATGAACAAATCTTGACCTCTACCTCACACTTCAATCAAAAATTAATTCAAAATGTGTTATATATCTAAATGTAAAATGTAAAACTATCAGTCTTTTAGAAGAAAACATAGAGAATTTTGTGACCTAAGTTTGGCAAAGAGTTCTTAGCACACAAAAAGCATAATCCATATACCCCCCAAAATTGATAAATAGTACTTAAAAATTAAAAGACATTGGTAGATGAATGAAAAGACAAGTTACAGACTGGAAGAAAATATTTGCAATCACATACTGAACAAAAGAACTTGTATCTAGGATATGAAAAGAACTCTCAAAATTCAACAATAAGAAAAAAAAACAGAAAAAAAGAATAGGCAGCAGATTTGAAAAGATGCTTCAGCAAGGAAGATGTGTAGATAGCAAATAAGTACATGAGAAGATGTCAACATCATTAGTCTTTAGGGAAACACAAATTAAAACCACAGTGAGATACGACTGCTCACCTATTACAAGGCTAAGATGAAAAAGAATGACCATACCAAGTATTGGAGAGGAAGTGGAGGAACTGGAACTCTCAAACGCAGCTGGTAGGGATGTTAAACACTACAGACATTCTGAAAAAAAAAATTGGCAGTTTCCTTAAAAATTTAAATATTCACTTCCACTACCACCCAGCCATTCCGCTACTAGAAATGTTCCTGAAGCAATGAAAGCATTTGTGTGTACAAGGACTCACATAAGATGTTCATAGCAGATGTTTTTGTTACAGCCCCAAACTGCAAGCAGCACAAATGTCCATCAACAGGCAAGTGGATAAGCAAATTGTCCTATATCCATATAATGAAATACTACTAGGCAATGAAAAAGAAAGAATCTTGATATACATAGTAACATGGATATCTCAAAATAATTATGCTGAATGAAAGAAGCTAGAGGGGTAAAAGAACACCTACTGTATGATTCCATTTTTACACAAATCCTAGGTAATGCAAACTAATCTTTTTAATTGAAGTGTAATTGATTTACAATATTATATTAGTTTCAGATGTACAACGGAGTGATTCAATTTTTTAGACATTACAAAATGATTACCACAGTAAGTCTAGTGTCCATCTGTCACCATACAAAGTTATCACAATATTATTGACTATATCCCTTATTGTGCACATTAAATCTTGTGATTTATTTATTTTACAACTGGAATTTGTACCTCTTAATCCTCCTCACCTGTTTCACTCATCCCCTCACCCCTTCCCTCTGGCAACCACCCTTTTGTTCTCTGTATCTATGAGGCTATTTTCATTTTGTTTATTTGTTTTGTTTTTTAGATTCCACATATAAGTGAAATCATATGCTGTTTGCCTTTCTCTGTCATACTTATATCCCTTATCATAATATCCTCTGAGTCCATCCATGTTGTTGCAAATGGCAAGATTTCGTTCTTCTTTTATGGCTGAGTAATACTCCATTGTGTATGTATATTTATCCATTCATTTGTTGATGGACACTTGGGTTGCTTCCATATCTTGCCTATTATAAATAGTACTGCAGTGAACATAGGGCTGCATATAGCTTTTCAAATTAGTGTTTTTGTTTTCTTTGGAAAAATACCCAGAATTGGAATTTCTGGACGTATGCTAGTTCTATTTTTAATTTTTTGAGGAACCTCCATACTGTTTTCCATAGTGGCTGCACCGATTTACATTCCCACCAACAGTGCACGAGGGTTCCCTTTTCTCCACATCCTCACCAACACTTATTTGTTGTCTTTTGATAATAGCCATTCTGACAGGTGTGAGGTGATATATATCCTTGTGGTTTTGATTTGCATTTGCCTGACTGTTAGTGATGTTGAGCATCTTTTCATGTGCCTGTTGGCTATCTGTACGTCTTCTTTGGAAAAATGTCTATTCAGGTCCTCTGCCCTTTTTTTTTTTTTTTTCGGTATGCGGGCCTCTCACTGTCGTGGCCTCTCCTGTTGTGGAGCACAGGCTCCTGACGCGCAGGCTCAGCGGCCATGGCTCACGGGCCCAGCCGCTCCGCGGCATGTGGGATCCTCCCAGACCGGGGTGCAAACCCGTGTCCCCTGCATTGGCAGGTGGACTCTCAACCACTGCGCCACCAGGGAAGTCCCCCTCTGCCCATTTTTAAATTTATTTTTTGATTTGTTTTTTTCTTTCATATTGAGTTGTATATGCTCTTTGTATATTTTGGATATTAGCCCTTAGATATATCATTGTTAGTGTATAGAAATGCAGCAGATTTCTGTTATATTAATTTTGTATTGTGCAAGTTACGGAATTCATGTATTGGTTCTAATCGTTTTTTAGTGGTATCTGTGGGATTTTCTATATATAGTATCATGTTATCTGCAAGCAGTGACAATTTTACTTCTTCCTTTCCAATTTAGATAAAAGGAATTTCTTTCTCTTGCCTGATTTGCTGTGACTAAGACTTCCAATACTATGTTGAATGAAAGTGGTGAGAATAGGCATCCCTGTCTTGTTCCTGCTCTTAGAGGAAATGTTTTCAGCTTTTCACCATTGAGTATGATGTTAGCTGTGTGAAATAAAATTCATATTTTATGACAAGTCAAGAAAAATTTAAACATAAAAAATTTTCTCTGCACTTTGGCCTCCTCTCTCCTCTCTGCTGTGCTTTGTGCACCTGCATTATATTACATTGTCCAAACCTCCCCATCAGCAGAAATATCTGCTCCACCGTAAAGAGCAGCATTCTCCCAGCACCAACAAGGCAACTTAAAAGATAACATTCCTTCTTAATCTTGTAAGGGACCACGATGAACCATGACCCACTATTCACTACATTGTATAAACTGTCAACAATACGTTATTTAATGTACAGCCTCTGTCTTAAAAACTTACATAACTGTGCTTTGACCTCTAATGGGCAGAACAGTTCTCAGAACTTTCCTTGAGGCTGTTCCCAGGTAACAATCCTCAATTTGGCTCAAATAAAATCTTCCATTTCTTTCTTAGATTGACTGATTAATTTTTCAACGACAGCCATGTGCTTGTCATATATGGCCTTTATTATGTTGAGGTATGTTCCCTCTATGCACACTTCATTGAGGGTTTTTATCATAAATGGATGTTGAGTTTTGTCAGAAGCTTTTTCTGCATCTGTTGAGATGATCATATGATTTTTATTCTAATTGTTAACGTGGTGTATAACATTGATTGATTTGCAGATAACTAATCAAACTAATTTTTTTTTCTTAAAACGGGTTAGGTTGACAAATTTTATTTATTTATTTTTAAAATATTTATTTATTTATTTGGCTGCGCCAGGTCTTAGTTGTGGCACGTGGGATCTTGGTTCCTGCGTGCGGGATATTTGTTGCGGTATGCAAGATCTCTTAGTTGTGGCATGCGAGATTTAGTTCCCTGACCAGGGATCGAACCTGGGCCCCCTGTATTGGGAGCACAGAGTCTTAACCACTGGACCACCAGGGAAGTCCCTCAAATTAATCATTAAGTAACAAAGCAGATCAGTCATTCCAGGGACCCCGGAGGGGAGTGAGGACACTTTTGGGGTGATGCATATATTCATTATCCCAATTGTAGTGATGATTTAATGGGTGTATACAAGGCAAAACATCACATTGTATTCTGGTTTTTTTTTTTTTTAAGTGGAAAGAAATCCCTATCTTTATTTACTGTAAATCTGAACCACAATCCCACTGGGTTGTGGGAAATTCTATCTCATCTAGTGTCAGCCCTCCTCCCTATGGGCTGTACCAGAATATAAGAGGGTGGCACGATGTCCCCCAAACAAGCAAGGGCCCAGCCCCCAGGGCATCCCTGCTCCGAGACCATGTACCCAGTCCCTGTCTACATCCCCCTCCTCCAGACCCAGTTCTCCACTTTTGGCCCATGCAGTTCAACCCCTGAGGTGAAGGTCACTGGTCTCCTCATTCCTTTACCAAATAGGTTTTGTGAAAGATCCTGAGAACTGAAAAATTTCCACTGACTCTCCAAGACCTTAATGCCCAACTGTTCCTCTCCATCCCAGATGCTAAACCCAGATTCACCAAATCACAACTCAGGGCCTTCAGACTTGCAGCTCCTGCACTGTATCCCCAAGTAGCACATCTTCAGTTTCCTCACACCTTGAAATTTGAACAGTGCCAAGTTATTCAAGCAAGGTGAACTCTGACTGACTACCAATCTAATCCATAAATCTTTCAGTTCCTGGATCCCTATAGAACGTGCTGGGACTGTTTTCACATTGCAACATCTTAATATAGGCTTAAGCTAATAGGGCTTGGGTGTTTTTTACCTCATCCTTGCCCAGTCTATGTGTGATGTTCCTTCTAAACCCAGAAAGCTAAGTATCCTTCCCAGGAAGATAGCAGTCTCACCAGGGGCCCAGAGCTGTCCCCTTGACTGGGAATACTGTCGGGATAGCTCTGTTCAAGGCCCAGCCCTGGCTGCCCTGCACCCACCCAACCCACTGTGTCCCCCTGTGTCCCCACAGGCTGATTCGGCCTAAAAGGCACATTCCATGGGCTCCCAGAGTCTCAGGGCCAGTGCACACATCAACAGAGAGTCTGACTTGGAGAATACTGCTCAGCTTTTATAATGCTTCTTGAACCAGGGCCACGAGTGTCGGGGGCCCTTTAGTGCTTGTTTTTCGCAGGCCCAGCTCATCACAGTCGAGGTCTGAGGTTTCTTGAAGTCTGTGCCTTCGCAATTTTCTTCTCCACTGCATGCAGAAGGCAGCAACTTCCAGTTCCTCCGGATCTGGGGAAGGCTGTCTCAAACCCTGGAGGAGAGAGAGATGATTAAGTACTAGGAGGCGCTGTGCACTCTCTCCCAGTGTCAGCTCATTGGAGCTCTTAGGGGATTCTTCTGAGTGATGCTGGGACTGGTTTTCTGATATTTTAGCCCTAAATTGAATAGAGAGCAAGGAATCATGTTTGGAGAGGTCCTCTGAATTGGAGCCCACTCATTCTTAAAGGACAAGCACAACAGAACAAAGGATCTTGTCTATCACGATAGAATGTTCTGGGACTGTAGTCAATTTAAAAAGAAAATCTCTCTCTAACCCAAATTCTGCCTCCTGGATCTTGCTTTATTCATTTTGCTTTATGCAAACTATCCATGGGTCTTTAGCCAGCGGCCTAAGCAGAGCCAGGACACAGGTGTACACAGCAAGCACTCAGCCTGGCCCTCAGGTTCTCCTGCACTCAGATGGCCTGGGCATTGGGACCTGGGGACTGGCCCTGCCCTGGGTGGTGCTGCAGGATCTGCGGGAGGCTGTGGCTGTGGCCACGCTGGCGTGCTGGCGGGAGAGATGCTCACTGATCCATAGGGCCAGTCCTGAGCTTTTCTCTCAGCCTTCTTTATATTCAAGAAATTCTGGGACTTGTAGTTCAAGTATGCACATTTTCCAAATGCTTTTCACTGGGTGTGTCTATTTTATGTACTCTTTGAATTTAATCGGTACTAAGTTTCTTTAAACTTGAAATGAAAATTCCCGTTCTATTTATTTAGTGCCTCCATGCACTTGCCCACTATTCTAGGTCTCTGGCTTCATGAAGTATACATTCTAATAACAGAGCCAGACAAACACATAAAAGTGAGGAAAAGAAGCAGACAACTACAAAATGTGATAAGTGCTACGGAGGAACCATACAAGGTACTAAAGCAGGGGACACTTGGTGCGATTTCATTTAGATATAGTGGGGGTATTTCATCCCTTTTGAGGAGGTAGAATTTAAGTTTGGGCCTAAAAGATAAGAAGGAGACAGACAGGAGACAATTTGGTAGAAGTGGAGGGGCAGAAATGCATCTCACACAGGTAGAATAGCACATGTGAAGGCCCTGGCAGGGTATCCTTTTGGGCACCCAAATATTTCCCATTTCCTGCCTTCACTTAGGACATAGAAAGCTGGAAAGGGAGTTGCTCCCACCCTAACAACAAGAAAAAGTCAGATAATCCACAAAATCATAACTTTTCTTGAACTTATTAGAGAGCTGAGGTTGAAGGGCAACTCACTGGGCTGAAATCTAAGAAAAGACAGCCACTTTCAGGGAGAGGCAGGGGCCCAGCACTGGCTTCCTTAGGATAGAGCATGGGAGGAAGATGAGACTATCATATACCTGATCAGAAGATTTTAGCTAAAATTCTTAACAAATTGCTGTGGCCAATTGTAGGTGGGTGTGAGTGTATAGGACCCTTGAGCACCACAACTAAGAAAAATCCACACCTGTTCACAGGCTTTCTCCAGGACCTCTCCTGGTGCTCATGACAAAGATTTGGGACAGGGCAGGAGGCTGGGACTGTCTCCCTTGTGGAGCAGGCTTTGGGAAGAGGAGCAGCCATCACTGCAACAAAGGCACAGATCTCTGCCCACATCTGTCTCTTCATGGCACAAAAGCTCAAGTCACTGAAGGAAGGACAGCAAATCCTGTCATCCCCAGGGCACAGGTCAAGACCACTGCAAGCGGAGAAAGAAAACAGAATACAGCCCTCTACCTTGGGGGAAGAAGCAGAAAACCATCCTGAATTCATAACTGTTAAAAGTCTCCTATTGGGCTTCCCTGGTGACGCAGTGGTTGAGAGTCCGGCTGCCGATGCAGGGGACACGGGTTCGTGCCCCCGTCCGGGAAGATCCCACATGCCGTGGAGCGGCTGGGCCCGTGAGCCATGGACGCTGAGCCTGCGCGTCTGGAGCCTGTGCTCCGCAACGGGAGAGGCCACAACGAAAGTCTCCTATTGCTGAGGGAGGAACAGGGCCTGCCTACAATTGAGGCTGAGTGAGAACAACAATGAACACTACCACCTCCTCTCCAGACCAGCAATCATCGAGTCACAAGTAACAAGTAGGCTATGGAGAGGCAAGAACATTGAGAGAGAACACCCCTGAGGTGCACACTCACAAGGAAAGCCTCAAGCTGACAGTGGAACAGGAACATTGATGAAAACCCTCTGGTAACCCAGACCCCGCACTGAACACAAAGTAATGCTAGAACATTTGAATCCAGTGGTTACCCAAGGATGACTGTAACAATGCCACCCAAACTCAGCTCAACTCCTGACTATATTGACTCACACCCCCACCGCCCACCACACACACACCACACACTAAAGGCCTAGAAGAAGAGGTGGGCCCATTTTCAGGCATACATAGTACTCATTTAGTCTCTACCAGTCTATGCATAATGTCAAGTTTTCAATGGAAAATTAAAAGACACACAAGAAGAAGGATCTGCTGTCAAGAGACAAAGCAATCAAAAAACCCAAACTCATGGGACTTCCCTGGTGGTGCAGTGGTTAAGAATCCGCCTGCCAATGCAGGGGACACGGGTTCCAGCCCTGGTCTGGGAAGATCCCACATGCCGCGGAGCAGCTAAGCCCATGCGCTACAACTACTGAGCCTGCGCTCTAGAGCCCGCGAGCCACAACTACTGAGCCCACGTGCCACAACTACTGAAGCCCGTGCACCTAGAGCCTGTGCTCCGCAACAAGAGAAGCCACTGCAGTGAGAAGCCTGCGTACTGCAACAAAGAGTAGCCCCACATTCACCACAACTAGAGAAAGCCCGCATGCAGCAACAAAGACACAATGCAGCCAAAAATAAAATAATTAATTAAAAAAAAAAAAAGAAACCCAAACTCAGATATGAGCCACATGTTGAAACCATCAGATAGGAAGTTAAAAATAACTATGATTTATATATTAGTGACTTTAGTGGAAAAAGTAGACAAAATGCATGAACAGATGGTGAGTTTTAGCAGAGAGATAAAAACTATGAGAAATAATCAAACAGAGATGCTAAAAATAAGAAAAAATGTGGTGACAGATTGAAGAATGCTTTGACGGGCTTATCAGCAGATTGGACACAGCTGAAGAAAGAATCAGTGGAACTGAAGGTAGGTTGATAGAAATTAACCAAACTAAAATGCACAAGAAATCAGGTGACAGGTTTGGGTAAGAAATGCAGTTGAATTTAATAGCTAAGAAGCAGGTGGAGTAGCCTCATGAATGTCTGCAATGTTGCTCTCAGCTTGTGACCTGAGTCGTGGTCCTGTGCATGTCTGTGCCAGTGTCCACCCTTGGGATTAGCACTTACCCGGAGACTGGCGGCTTCTGCAGCCCTCACGGTCTTAGAGGCAGCACGGAGGAGCTGCTGTGCATTTTCCACCAGGAGCTCTTCAGAGGACTTGCTTCTTGCCAAGGAGGCCTTTACTCTTGGGAGTTGACAGGAGGAAAGCAGTTAACATTATACCAAGTAAGAGGCATAATCTCAGATAAACAGATACCAGATGGTTTTACAATGTGAGCCTCTTCCAGAAAGCTGGGATGCCTTTGTAGGGACTATTCAGAGAAAGAAAGTTCTTAAGGTATAATTTAACATTTTAACATAAAATTTATATTTTGATACTAAGAAAGTATGACTCATATAGAATCTATAAATTAACAAGAAGTATGTTTTTAAAAGATTTTTATTGAAGTATAGTTGATGCGCAATATTATATGTTACATGCGTACGATATACTGATTTACAGTATTTACTCCATTTATAGTTATTATAAAATATTGGTTATATTCCCCATGTTGCACAATATATCCTTGCAGCTCATTTTATACATGATAGTTTGTACCTCTTAATCCCCTACCTTTATATTGCCTCTCCCCACTACCCTCTCCCCACTGGTAACCATTATTTTGTTCTGTATATCCGTGAGTCTGCTAAGAAGTATTTTTAATGAAAATAACTGAAGAGAACTAGCAGAATAAATGCCAACATCCATACATAATGAAAGGGAACACGAAATTTTGTCTAGAATTGCATTCAGGACTTAAAGTAAAAGTTCTAATCAAAGATCAGACTGCTATTTCTAAATTGAATCACACACCTCAATGATACTTGCTTTAAACTGAGTGTAACTGAATTTAGTGAGACAAGTTGTTTTTCACCAATGAAAATGAAGATGCTATACATAAAATAGATAAACAACAAGGACCTACTGTATAACACAGGGAACTGTGTTCAATATCTTGTGATAACCTATAGTGGAAAAGAATATGAAAAAGAATAGATAGATAGGACTTCCCTGGTGGCACAGTGGTTAAGAATCCGCCTGCCAATGCAGGGGACATACATTCAATCCCTGGTCTGGGAAGATCCCATATGCTGCAGAGCAGCTAAGCCTGTGCACCACAACTACTGAGCCTGTGCTGTAAGCCTGCGTGCCACAACTACTGAAGCCTGCACGCCTAGAGCCCATGCTCCGCAACAAGAGAAGCCACTGCAATGAGAAGCCTGCGCACCGCAACAAAGAGTAGCCCCCGCTCGTCGCAACTAGAGAAAGCCCGGGCGCAGCAACGAAGGCCCAAAGCAGCCAAAAATAAATAAGTTGATTTAAAAAAAAAAAAAAGAATAGATAGATTGATTGATTTAGATAAAACTGAATCACTTTGCTGTACACCTGAAACTAACACAACATTGTAAATCAACTATACTTCAATAAAAAAAAGAAAATGAAGATGCTGTGAAACTTAAGTGAGTAACTTTGGTAAAATCTCAGGACCTCCAGATCCTTTAGAGAACTGGGAACTTGATAAATGTACCTGTATTAATCAGGCCTTTTTATTTTCTGTGTTTCTGATGCACTTAGGGCCATCTGATGCTGGAAAGACTGCCCCTCCCAGGGTTAGCCAATCCTTAGAGTAAACCACTTGCCTGCAAGTGCACTTATACATGCAAACCAACCAATCCGAAGTTCACACCCCCAACCTTCTCCTTTATAGCGCTCTTATACTCTGGGCCACTATTCCCCTGCCCTAATTACCCCAGAGCCAGGTGCCAGACAGCTAGAGATAATCTCTATACTCCAGAGCCCAAATTCAAATTAACCAATTCTAAACCTGTTTAGCCTACTTCCCCTGACTTGTCCATTCCTTCCCACAAAAACACAGTAAAGGATTTGTCCATGCTTTCCCCTCACTCCTTCTGCTTTTTGACTGACCCTGGTGCTTCCCTATGTGGTCCTACCGACATGGCTCCTGTTTCTAAGGGTCCGTGAGGGATTGTCTTCCTTGTTTTCTTCCTTCTTCCTTGTCACATCCATGTTTGCATGTCCTACTATACCTGATTTAAACAAATCCGGAGTACCCTTACAACAATACCCATATTTGAAATGCTAAAATTAATTACAGTTCCTGTATTTTAAGTAGAAAAAATCTGGTAGCTAATCGTGAGATGATTTTGTGCCTGAAATATTATTTCCTAGAGAACAGTAACCAGGCTTTATGTTTAGTTTAAAAACAACTTATATACCCTGGTCTTGGCGATGTTATTTTTATGCCTCACGATAATTGATAATAGTCTTACCTACCAAGCTTTCCCATAATATATTTTCTAATAAACATTTGTTACTGATGAATATGCCACTGCAGGTATTCAGGGACTTGGGTGGAAATGAAACCATCCTATACTTCTCTTCCGGTGTTCTATATTATCAACGTGAAAACTGTTATATGGAGACAATGACCAAAAACTGCTCAACTCCAGCACAAGGCTTATGTTAAGATTAATTCATTGGGCACATTAAATGAATTAATCTTAACATAAGCCTTGTGCTGGCATAGTTTTTCTTAGGCAAATGACGTTTAAAATGCTTTCACTTTGCAATTAGTGTATTTTTAGAGATAACCAGCTTGTTTGTTAGATAGGATTCGTATAAAAACAAATAGAGAGCTAATGGTGAAAATGTAAACACGATTGTAAAGTAGAGATCAGTCATCTGTGCTTGTATATTAACCCTGAAGTGTTGTGAGCCCAGCAGCACCACTGGAGTCACTGTTATGAAGGGAGGAGGGACCGATGTTGAAGGAGAGCCTAAGTTCTGATGTATTTGATTCTTAATCCTTATGGGGACTTAAGGACTCCGTGCTTCCACTGTGGGGGGCACAGGGTCAATCCCTGGTCGGGGAACTAAGATCCCACCTGCCACGCAACGCCGCCAAAAAAATAGAAAAATATTAAAAAAAAAATCCTTATGGTTACTTTATCCTCACGCCTACTCAGGAACTAGTTTTCCATGTTAAATATTTTTTCTTTCTTAAGTATATTATCAGATATGTTTGTGATACAGGGAGAAATGACAGTAGCCTAAATGTGTTTTTTGTGCTCTGTAATTATACTCTATATTTTTAACATTTGATATTCCTCAAATAAATGTAGATTCTTGGAGGATAAAAAACATTAAAAGGAGTATACAAAAGAAGGAATTATATTCCCCCTTCCAAGCCCTCCCTTTGGGTCTGAGAAAGAAGACAGCAACTTCCCTTCAAAGCCATTTCCTACCTGGAGATGATGCGGAGCTGGCTGCTCATTGTCTGAATCTGCTCTACCATATACAGAAGCTCCTGGGAACATCTTTGGTCTACACAGTTCTTAGCAATGATGCGGATAAGTCTGGCGAAGTTTTGTCCGGAAGTCGCAATTTTCCTGGCAGAGGTAATGAGCTGTTCTTTGGTCTATACCAAAAGAAATGAAAGAGTTGGAAGTAGGTGAACAACGCCTCCGCAAGTTTTCCCTAAGAAATCGGTGGCAAATGGTAAACATCCCAAACTTGCTTGGTACAACTTATTTCAGCCCCGGAATGAACACATTGTAGCTTGGTCTAAAACTGTGATGTCCCGAACCTCCTCCAGAGGCTTCAAGACCAGACACTCCAGGTTAGCAAGAAGCTTATTCTCTTTAAAACCACAGAATGAGGTGGTCCAGGCCCATCTGTCCGTGAGGACTGCTGAAGGGAAGGTGGCCCAGCCTCCTGGTCTTGGGCTAGATTTTCTGCACAGGAGCTGTGGCCTGCAGTGGCTCAGAGAGAGTTTTCAGCAGCCCCGGGGCAGAGATAAGGCCCCTAAGAAGGGCCAGGTGTGAGGAACGTGCAGGTTGAAGGAGGTCTTGGCTTGACCAAAGGGTCAAAGGCCTATAGCCACATGTAGAGCTTCCCAGTTGGGAACTGATAATTAATGGGTTGGTGACAGAAGCCTTTTCCTAACCAGGTCTGAAAAGGCTTCAGAGAACAAGGAAAGGAGACCAGCCTGGCTTTTATTGTGGTCAGAGAATGGGGCCAGGGTGGGAGTTTCCACTCAACAGTCAGGGCTTGTGTGGTTTGAGCTTCCCACTAGCACCAAAGGAGACCATGCCTGGACCTTTTGGCTTGCCCAGATGTGGAGCACGAGGGGAAGAAGGAGGAGTGGGCGGGGCTTGAAAGCTGTCAGCAAACATTAAAAATGGAGTCAGACTCTTTATTGTACCTGCCCTGTTGAGGGGCCTCTAAATTCCATGAGGATGGACATTAACTTAAGGGACAGAACTTAATTTTGTCTGCCCCATTCTTTTCGTAATGGCCAGCCCTGGTGGGGAGCCACTTCTGGGTCCCTCTCCTGCATGTATCATGCTGTCTCAGCTTCTCCTGTAAGGAAGAAAACAATCCTGATAAACCTATGTTAGAGGCTTAGTTTATTAGAGGTATTTGCAGTTCCAGATAAGAAAGGACTGGGTACAGATGTGTCCAATGCCTAATTCAAGCAATTCCAAGCTCCACAGCAGACCAGTCCGAGAAACCTCCCTTTCAAATGGGACAGCCTTTTTGAAACACAGAACTCAAGCAGCCAGTCCTAAATTAGCCAAATCTGTGCCAGGTCGTTTGACACTCTGTTGCTCCTTCTTTTCAAAAAACTGATGTTGCGGGCTTCCCTGGTGGTGCAGTGGTTGAGAGTCCGCCTGCTGATGCAGGGGACGTGGGTTCGTGCCCCGGTCCGGGAAGATCCCACGTGCCGCGGGGCGGCTGGGCCCGTGAGCCATGGCCGCTGAGCCTGCGCGTCCGGAGCCTGTGCTCCGCCGCGGGAGAGGCCACAATAGTGAGAGGCCCGCGTACCGCCAAAAAAAAAAACAACAAAAAAAACTGACGTTGCAACCCCAAACCAAGCCCCATCCCAAACATCCAAGGCAGCACACTTCTTTATGATGTCCCAGGAGAAGACATGAGTCCTCACACCCTCGAGAATTTGTTTTTGCTTTATGATATGCCACCCCAGTTAGCAAATGAGTCCTAAAATATGTACTTTACTTCTCTTTGGATAAGGCTTGGGTTTAGGCAAGCTCTGCATCTGTCAGCTCCCTCCCTGTACCAAATGTGGGTTTGATGACCTGATTTCAGAATTACTGGTCTTTAGGATAAGAATGAAAAGGAATACTAAAGAAATAGGAGAGAGGAGGGTGAGAGAACCCCTCTTTTTTCCTGCGGGTATTTTATTTTGTACACATTACTGCGACAGTTTCCCTGACCTAGATAATGACGTGAGGAATGGCTGTCGTTCTCTGCTGGCACACAGAGAGTGCTGATGAAGGTCGTGATGCTGGAAAGTCTTTAGTAAGAACATCTCCATGTGTGAAGGGGGAGGGCTCAACTGAGGAGGTCAAGCTGGAATATTCCAGAACTCATAACCTAGGTCTCAAAGGTGCCAGAGGAAACTCAAACCACATGAGAATAATCTTTTGTAGACCACTGCCAGGGAAGGAGATGCTTACCTTTTCTGCCTCTCCAAGGGAAACCTTCATCCAATCTCCCCATCTTCCTCCCTGCTTCCTCCAATTCTGGCCCCAGCCTCAGGGCTGAAGAGTTGCTAATACGGTTGACTCAAGATTACTGCTCTGCCCCCATGCCTGTGCTGCCTGTTACCCCCCCAACCAGCCATTTTAAACTCTTCTCTCTGTTTTACTCAAGAGTACCAGGGACTTTGGTTGTTAAAATCTGATTGGTATTAAGGTCGAGATTTGGAGGATTCGGGGGTAAATTCTGCACAGTCACTCCATTTTACCAGGCACTAGCCTCACTGTTAAAAATCACCATTTGCTTTTCCTTTTGTCATTTCCCTTTAGCGCACATTTCCCCAGGGAACTGCACGGGCTGGAGGATTTGCATATTCCTGGGCCCTCAGCCACATGGCCCCATCAGCACCCAAGTCCTATATAAATTAGAATATCTGAGATGTTTGGAAGGAAAATGGAAGTCAGCAAGAAGTGGTAACTGCTCCCACTTTTAACCTAATGACCTTGGGGTAACTGTTCCAGTGAGAAACTAACTGAAGTGGACATGGGTTGGGAGAAAGAAGAGGCCAATGAAAGGTCTGAGTCTTGGGTGTGGTAGGGCCGCTGGGCAGGGCTTTGCAGTCACCTCGTCTGGAGGTGCCCTGACATCCAGCCTTCTCTCCGGGCCCCGCTCCTCTACCATGTGTGGCCCAGCCACGGGTTTGGGGGCCATGAGTACCCAGCAGGCCTACGCTAGAAGACATTTTCTAAATGGCTCTTGGTGCCATTCGATCTCTTCCTCTGGTCCCCACACTCAGTAAATGGACTTCTTTTCTTTTTTTTCAGTGTTGATGTGTGTGTGGATGGTAAATGATGCTTAACTGCATTGAATCAAGGAGATGGCTAAAGAGAATCAGGTGACCTGTGGTTGAAGTTGCCCCCCACCCCAAAGCCAGTGGAAAGTAGCCCCCATCCTGTCCAGGCTGTGCTGGCCCTGAATGGCCATCCTTCAGGAGCTTGCAGCCCTGTTACCTCTATTTTGGGGAATTTTTAAAGACGTAAATGGCTCCCTTCAGTTCATCCTCTGGGATAGGAATGGGTCTTGATTTTATGAAACTGCAGCTTCCGGTAAATTATCTTCCCCAATGGACTAAGACAAAGGCTTAGTAAGGAGCCCACAGGAGGAGGGAAGAGAAAAATGAAGTGAGCTCTATGATACGCCCAGATGGAGAGAGAAGACAGCACCGAAAAATGCTATGTGCCCGATGGCCCCTGCTCGTGGCCCCTCTGTCCTGGCTCCTGCGGGGCAGCAGCTGGGAGACCCGTTTCCCCCCGTGGTGCCCAATCCTCCCACCACCCACTGAAGGTCAAGTACCAAGATGCATCCTCTCCTCCTCAGACTCTGAGCCATCAGGAACACCTCCTTGGCCATCTCCTGGGTAACCTGGGTGATTCTGTTCGCACTGTTCACGCTGCCATCCTCTGGGAGAGGCAGGTCCACCTCAGTGTGCGGCCAGGCTGGACAGCCGGGGGAGCTGCCAGGGGCGCCGCTCTGCTGGTGCTGTAAGAAGAAGACAGGGTGGAACTGATGAAATTCAAGATGCTCAGATCTTTTAACTGCAGTGGGGATGTTAATGGCTTCTTCAGCATTTTTAAAAGAAGAGTGGGAATCAAGAGGGTTTCCTGATCCCCACATGACAGCAGCTCTTGACAATCTCCTCCAAATACCTAGGAAAAAAGTGAGAAGAGGAAACAATGAATCCCTATTGTTCTGTGCTCCTTTCACCCAGAATTTGCATAAACTGCAACCGGGCAGACTCAGATCCCCAGTATAGTTAAAATATCACATTTTCTTTCCTTTGGTGAATTTTCAGGGCTTACCTGGGAGAATCTCTAGCTCCTTGAAGAAATTTGGGAATCCTTGAATGTCCCTACTTTGGGACAGTTTCATATCAATTATTCCATGTGAAAGGACTTTACAGTTCTGGTATGAATAATTATTTTTCCCCCATTAACTTGCTTATTATTTTCTAGTGAGAAAAACAGCAGCTTCTGCCAACCAGAAGTGGGCGAGGCCATGTTATTCTTTTTTGGACCCTAAGTGGGGCCTCCCCTAAGCCTTTTCCAGACTCTGGAATTGAGACCAGGTGTACTGCCCTTGAAGGTAAACCCAGTAACAGTGTCAAGAGTGGCCTTGATCATCTCTCGGCCTCACGCACCAGATCCTGAGCTCCTGGGGGTAGGGCCTGTGACCTGGGTGTAGGTGGGAAGGAGAACATGGGTGGGAGGAACCTCTGGGCCTTCCTACACCCTGACTTCTGCCCCAAGACCCCAATGTAGCATACTAATGTCTCAGAAGGGTCATAACGTAGCTGTTGGAAAAGTATGAGTGTGATAGCAAATTCTATCTAAATTGGGAGATATATAAGTTCACGATCCTGTTCGGTCTGAGGCTATATATGTAGCAAATATTTCACCAGGAGAGGAATGGAAATCAAAAGGATAACTGCTCCAGGCATGTGTCCCTTCCACCCCCACCTTGTTGGCCACTTTGTCCAGTCTTTGTCGTGCTTCCCTCACTGCCGAGCACGCAGGAAGGGTGCTGCGCTAAAGATGTGGAATCAGGAGACCAATGATCCAAGGAAGGGGTTGGATGAATCACATCATATGGCTGTAGCTCTAGAGCTCAGGTGAGTGTTTAAGCGAGCGGTTGCCATGTGACAGACAAGGGGACGGGACGTATGTGAGTCTGGGACCAGGAGACCGTGGAGGCTGGGATCTAAGTGACCTACCTGCCCTGGGGTATGGGTGCTCCACATCGTGGTGCTTGGCCCCAGGCTTGGCCCAGGAGCAAGCAGAGGCAACAGCTGCCAAGCATGTGGGGAAAGCGCTGATCATTTGGGTTTGACTCAGAAGTTGTCCAGATGCCGAGAACAGCAACCAGCCAGGTGGGTGGCTGGAGGTGGCACAGGGCATCCATAGTGAAGGCTTAACTGCAGGCTGTTTTCCTCTCCAACCATAAAGTATTCACTTCCACATTGGGAGCACACCTGAGCACAGATATGCGCCCCCCGGGCTCATAGCCACTTGCAAACCAAGTTCACTTCAGAGCTCTTATTGCCTGCAATGTCCTTCCTCTCTCCCCTGGCAAATACAAATCCCAAACTGCCTTTGAAGCTCAACTCAAGACCACCCTCCTCTCAGGAGACATCTATCTGCTTTATCCCTCCCATTACCATTTTGCCCCAAATTTGTACCCCTTCTGCCCTTCTAGGCTGTCTTTAGCATCCCAGCAAGCAATCTAAATCACTTACCATGCACCTGCGATGCCCCAGACACCGTGCTTGTCCTGAAGGATCTAAAGATGAGTAAGATGAAGTCCTTGAACTTCAGCGGCTGAGAGTTTAGACTGTGCTAGTACATATTGAGAAGTCACCTGGCTTTTTTTGTATTATGTCTGCAATTAAATAATCCCCCACCTTCTGAAAACTGTTTGTTGGCCTCGTTTTAGACAGGTTGGGATGCCCCCTGACTGCTGGGAGGGGCAAGTCGGATCCTTTTCTGGAGAAGGACCAACACACTGAGGGCCAGCAGGCTGCCCAGACGGGGCCCGGGATTACGTGACGTGAAGAGAAAGGTGAGAACTCAACTGAGACTTAAGACTCAACCGTAGTGACTAAAAACCAGGGTGAAAATGGCAAATATGGGATTTGGTGGGCCTTGAGCCAAGGCATAGGCAACTAGGAAATATTCTTTTCAACTCATGTCTCGTATTCAACTGTCAGGGACCTTCAACATCCAAAGCTAGCAGTGTCTCCAGGCTCTTCAGTAATGAAGGAGGCTAGGACTCTGCTGGAGAGCCCATAACTGGAATAAAGAATTTCCAGATTGTGACTTACAAGTGCCCCAAAGATGCACCTTCCCAAGGCCATGCCCTCCCTCAGGGGCTCACAGTTTGAGGTGCTGTTCTGGGCTGTGTGGAGGGTATCTCCACCCCCCAGGAGCCCCAGGGAGTGGGACAGTGGGGCAGACGCACACCACGGATGGTGATTCTCCCTTCTCCAATTACCCTCCCACCCGGGGGTAGCCCAGCAGGACCACTGTCCCCACTGTCCCCTTCTATGCACTGGAATTATGTGTATGAAGGAGAATGCTTCCCTGGGGTAGGAACCTTGGAATGTGAGGCCTTGCTCTCCACCCAGAGGAAAGCAGCCTGCAGCAGGAGAGGTGACACCCCTTCGTGGACAGGAGGGGTGATGGGGGCTGAATGAGCCTGCTGTTCTCACCATTCCAGGTGCCAGCTGACCTGGGCGGTCAGTTCTCTGAAATGCTCGTGTTGGGAGGTTTTGCTGAGAAGGGGACTGTGTCAGCTGAACTGAGAGAGAAACAGAATGTGTCGTCAGTGAAGTCAGCGGCATTAAGTATGTGTCAGAAAGACCCTGTGGAAAAACAGATCAGGGGGAGCTGGCAGGATGTCTGAACTCATGAGACCAGGAGCCACAGAGCAGGAGAGATGAGAAGACAGCGGGAGGCAGAGCAAAGAGGGCTTAGGCTGCAGGGGCAAGGGAACTGTGCCTGCCGGGCTCCCAGCGAATCTGGGAACAGGGCCTTTCTCATGGTAATGACATTTTAATGAGAAAGATGAAGTAAAGGGTAATGGGGTGTAGAAACACATTGTCTGGTCCACTTTATCTTGAGAGAAAGCCCAGGGAAATGTTTGGGGGGGAGTCTGGGCAGCCAAGCATAAGGTCACGAAGGGGACAGATCAGGTTATGCACAAAACGCTGGGCTGAGCACATCTACCTGGGAACTTCTTGGGCGGTCACTGCCAACCTATTATATCTCCCACGGTTGATGTTAAGTAAATCAAATGTTTGGGCTCCACAATCCCTGACATTGTCTGGTGCCCCAGAAGGAAACAACTATACGTGGAAGGTGTTCAACAGACCCAGAAGCCTTCCGGTAGATCTTTCTTTTTGCCTACGAGGATTCAAGTTGGACTCCGGCCACTTGCAAACCAAAGAACCCCTGACTGGAGCAGGGAGGTAACATCGTGGAGGTCAAGGTGGCATGAAGTAGCCGGATCCACAGGAGGAGTGCTGTCAGTCACAGCAAGGGGAACCCCCTCCAGATGGGGCCATGGGAAAAACTTCATGGAAGTCAATCATTACAGGCCCTACCACAGGGCACTAATTATGTTCCAGGCAAGTGCAAGTATTTTCCATGGATGCTTTCATCAACCCTCTGCCAGGGAAGTATCAATGTTCCCATTTTCTAGACTAGGATCTTAAAGTCCAAAATAGCTAAGAAACTTCTCTGAGATCTCAGAACTTGGAAATGGTAGAGGCAGACACAGTGCAGGCAGTGTGGTTCCTGACCTTGGATTCTCAAAGGGTGCCCTGTGCTTCCTGCCAGATGTGAATTACACACGTGGGCACCAAGAGAGCTTTTTCTGGAACTTGACGGGGGGCTTTGGTGACCAGAAAGAAGATTGAGGTGGGGGAGAAGGAGAGATGCTGACTTTCCTACCATGCCCAGGTCTGCGACTGTCCCGGTGATGCCTGGATCAGGAGTGCGGGTCCCCACTGAGCTCCCTGCGGTGTCTCTTGGAGCAGCACCCTGAGAATCTACACTGCTGGCTTCAGCGGCTCCTGGTGCACCCTCCCCACGGCGGAGCTGGGGCTGGGTGGGGTCCTCCTCATCACTGGGCTTCAAGCACTGGGCCAGGAGTCTCCAAGCCTTGGTGTGACCACCTTTCCAGGCCTGGAGCTGGGCCACAGCATGGTGGGCCTTGGCTGCCCACTCCTGCTGAAGCCAGTCCTCTGGGCATTCTCGGAGCACAGGGACCCGCTGGGCTACCTCCTTGGTGAGGACGAGAATGCTCTCCAGAGCCATGAGAAGGTCTTCCTGGCAGGGCCCAGACTCCTGACCTCCAGCCACAATTCCCTGCACAGCTTGGATACCAGACACCATTCTTTCCAGAGAGCCTTCTGGCTGGGTCTGGGGGTCTTTGCAGACAGAGAGCCTTGGGCAGAAGGCACCTTGGAGGACACGTTCATAGTCTGCATTGATGCTGCTGAGGTGGCCAGTCAGGGCCTTGGCTTGAAGGGTGAGCTCCAAGCAGAGAAGTTCAAAGCGGGTGGACAGGCTGGGAGATGGTTTGGGGAAGGAGGCCAGGATCTGTGCCACATCCAGCAGAGCATCTGTGAGCACATGAACCTCCCTGCACAGAAAGGAGATCTCACTCTTTACCTGCTCATCCCCACACAGAAGAGAAGACAGCCTAGCAGCCTCTTGGAGCCTTTGAGAAACATCTGCTGCCTGAGCCAACCCTTCCTGCAGCCCCTGCTGGTCCTTCACAGCCTGTCGCAGGGGCAGCAGGAACAGGCCTTGTCTCCCGCTGAGCCTCTCCAGGCACTGGAGCAGGTCTTGGACAGCCACTGACCACAGAAGGCACCCATCCTCAATGCTCTCCTCCCACGACCTGGGGGCTTGGAAACCATCAGAGGCCAGAACTTTGTCCAAAAGCTGTTTGGCATGGGTCTCCGCCTCCTCCAATCTGCCTTGCACTTGTAAATGCGCTTCTGGGTGCCCCGCTGAGTCAGAATCCTTCTTACCCGAATCCATGGGTCCACTTTTGACTGCTAGTTGAACCATTGAGGCTAAGTTCTGCTGAAGCTCCATGAACACTGTCATG